GGACTTCTTTAGTAGGTAAATATAAGAATATACGGGAAGATAAATATATTTTCCACTTTTCTTACTGTTAATTTATTTTTGAGTTATGGTTTCATTTCATGCATTTTTCTTAACTGGTATGTCATATATGAGGCCTTAGGTTGAGTTTTTGCATCTATATGCCCCACAACGATGTCATGCGCAGTTTAATCTATTGCGGCGTTTACGCTGATGCAGCGTTTCTGTGTAATTTTAATTTTTTTTCCCGCCATTTTTCTTGAGTGCGGCATTTACACTGATGCGGCCTTACTTCCGGAAATTACGGTAATTCTGACTCCTGGAAATTTAAAGACTCCGGCTCCCTCATATATATGTAAATATGTACACATGGGTTGCAGCTTATTTTTTTAATATAAAGGAAGTAATAGATGCTACAGAAAAAAATTCACATCAGAGAAAATTATTTATATTAGTTTGCATTTATTATGAAATGGAAAACCTGACTTTAGTAATTTCTAAGAAAAAGTATAGCTTCGGCAAGATCTTCTTTGGTAAAGGGCCATAGATCCAATTTGATGAGTTTCAGAGCTGAGAAGAGTCTTTTCGCTCTGACTTGAGTAGAAGGGAGAGCTGTTACTGTGAGGGCTACTTCTTTTAACTTTTCAGGCTAGATTTTTACAAGTTCTCAAAGAGGTGTCTTCCAAGACCAATCATATTTCTCTAATCATATTTTCTTCAAAGACCATATAGAAATTTTGTTTTTATTTTTTCATTTTTATATCTAAAAGCTCTTGGTTTTTATTTTCATTTTATTTTATTTTCATTCCTAAGCCTTTAGTATTATCCAAATATTTCTCAAAATCTAATTCATCACTGGAAGAGAATGATAGAGACTCAGTTGCAATGTCTGCAGTTTGACTTTTCCAATTGTTTTGAGAATAATTTCATTCTTAATGAAAGTTATAGAAGGCTTTCTTTGCCTTTTTAATTTATTTGTTATCAAACAAAATTCGGTGTTTTGGATTTACACATATGGAAACCAGCAAGATCTCATTGTCTAGCAAACTGGTTTCCCATTTTTTTTATTGAAGAAATGATTCCTTCTGCAATAAACCCTCCATTTCAGAAACAACAAACATCACGTTCTTTCATTCTCATCTCCTGTTAATTCATCAGATTATAGCTTTTTTGTGGCTATATACAGTATAGAAAGAAGAGTTTCCAATTCTGCAAGATCGTTCCACAGTCTTTCTGTTAGTGAAACACTAGGGTTATCCATATCTTCTAAAAAAGTTCTTAGTTCTAACAACCTCTATATCATCAAATATGTACTTCCCCATCATGTTGTTTCATCAATAATTGCTCCTTTTCCTGCTCCCTTCCTAAGAATGGCATCAATTTTGGGAGTTCTAGCTGTTTACCTAAATTGAAACTAAATTAAGTAGTTTAATCAATAATTGCAAATATCACATCCATCCTCCTCCCTTATAGTTATTTATTACTATGTCAATAAAATAGAAAATAACTATTTCTTAACACGTTGAGCGCCATGCATATGTTTTAGGCAATCCCATTCAGGCCATGTGCTTCGCTTAAAAGCACTGCTATTGTAGGGCCAGTGATTTGTATCGCTGTAGAAGAGAGCTACAAGTTGTGAAAAAGAAGACGTTCCGTCGAACAAAAATGCAAGAATATTTAGAAGACAACAACATAAACTCTGAAGAAAACTGGGAAAAATCTCTGAAGTACGAAAATATTGTAAATTACGTTATGAGAAAAATGCAACAGAAGCTGGTAGAGTAATGGCCAGAAAAAAGACTAAAAGAGTGTTGCCACATTTTGTAATAACTGTAATGGAGAACCGTTTTTAATCTTACTGTGTTTCATTGAAATCTAAGGAATCAAAATTAAGTAAATTTTAAATAAATTTTGTCTAATTTCATAAAACAGTGTAAATTTTATAGTTATATATCATGTTACACGCTGTCAGCCAGCAGCGGTCGACGCAGCCTAAACAAAAAGGTCTAGTGTCAGCCACAAATGGCTGACGCAACCTAAACGGAAAGTTTAGTGCAACCACAGATCGCTGACGCGGCCTAAACAGAAAATCTAGTATCAGCCAATGATAGCTGACGCGGCCTAAACGGAAAATCTAGTGTCAGCCACAGATGTCTGACGTGGCCTAAACGGAAATTCTAATGTCAGCCACAGATGGCTCACGCAGCCGAAACGGGAGTGTCAGGAAAATTAGTGTCACCACAGATGGCTAGTGTCAGCCACAGATGGCTGACGTGGCACTCAACGTGTTAATGTATATAGTCCATAAATAAATATAATAACTCAGTTTGTCATTAAATCTTTTTTCAATTCAATTTAATTTCATTTCAAATTCAAACTGTCAAATATAAACTGGAGTCTGAGTCGACATGTTTTTAGCGACTCCAACCCTGACTCATTTTACCCAAAAATCTGCCTAACTTTGATTCTGACTCCACAGTCCTGGGTCATACACAAATGGAGGTAATCCAAGATTTGAATATTCCTCAAAGTGTCATATTCAGAGCTTGGAGCCACTTTTTAAATGATGGATCAGTTGATAGGAAGCCTGGTGAAGAGTGATCAAGAGCAACAACTGCATCAAAAGAATGTTTTCAGTAATTGTCGGCTCAAATAAACAATGAAGCAACTATAAGCGATTTGGTTTTAGACCTCCAGGCTGCCACAGGAACTCAAATTAGCTATTCTGCTGCTTGATATAAGCTTAACGAGGCTGGACTGTATATAGGTGTGTCGAAGACCTGTTTAAACTGCTGCTGTCATCATGTTCAGTGGAGCCAACATGACTGGGCCTGAGTATTTACTTATGATTCCAGATATAGTCTGAACAGTGATCCTAAACTTGTTTTGATCTGGAGAGAGTAAGGTATTTGCAATCTGGCTTCCCTTATCCATGAAATATCCCGTTTCCACAACTGCAGTGTAATGGTTTGGGAAGGAATGATGACAAATGGCCGTACCGAGCTGCATGGCTTTCAAGAAGGTTCTATAACCACTCGAAGATGTGTAAATGATATATGAGGTATTGGAACCCCGAGTTAGACTGTTTAGGGATGCTGTTATCCCAGAGTTTTTGCTAATGGATAACAATGCTCGGCCTCATCGAGCATGTGTGGTGGCAGAATAGTTGCAAACACAAGATATTACTCGAATAGATTGGCTACTTTACTCACCGACTTGAACCTGACTGAGTATGTGTGGGATGCCTCAGGGTGCCAAATTTCAACATGCCAAATTCCTTCCTAGATTCTCCAGGAGCCGAAATGTGCACTTTTAAGAGTGGCGTTCAATTTCACAAGACCTGATCAACACTTAGGTAAAGTCTATGAAATCAAGATGTAAGGTATGTATATATGTTCAAGGTGACGATACACCGTAATAAAGAAAAAAATTTATCTTCAGGTGACTTAATTTTTCAGTATTTTGCAAATAATCAAATGCCAGACATTGTAATTTATGCTAACTAATGCTTTTGTGCAAATTTCTACCAATAATTTTTCATTAAATATCAGTTACATTTTATTTCTGTCCTTATCCTTTAATTTTGATGACCAATGTAAATATACAGATGAAATGTCAAATAATTACTAACATTGCTGTAATTAAGATAAATTAATATGCTTTATTGAATAATTATGCTTAAGATTATCAAAATTTTATGATCATGTCTCCTACTCTTAAGTGTATGTTTGGTCATTCAGTTTTTCAGTTTCATGATTAAATGCATTGGAGTCTCTTTGTTGTACTTGAATTATTTAGGCAAAAATGTAAGTTAATTACATTTTTACTAAATACTTGATATGATATTCAGATTAACATTGTTAGTTGTTTGTACATAAGTTGTTACAATTCGTGTAACACTTTTATGAGACACACCTTATGTTTCGTGAAACAGCAAATTATTTAATTAAACAAATGTTAAATTATTTAGAATATTTAAAGTAAATTTGAGCAAAAGTATCTTACCTAAGCAAAAGATAAAGGGCCAATTAGACAAATTTGCTAAGATTTGGGAAAAAGCTTATAAAAACCAAACTAGAACAGTATTTACGAAATTCGCAACACAGCATGTTACAAAATAAAGAACAAATAAAATAATGCCAATTTTATTTCTATATTTGTTGAAAATCATATGAATAAGATCAATATAAAACATTATGAGAAACATAGAAATTAGTTTCTCTTCTACAAACAATATTTGCATAGAAGAGTAATCATTGTTTGATCACAGCTTTATGTAGATGACATAATATGAAGTATAAATGTTACATTTTCAGTCATTTCTAATAAAATAATAATATTGGACCTTAAATCTGAAGAATAATTCCATGATGTAAGGAAATTATCATCATGGATAATATATCTGCTACAAAACAAGCGATTTGTGTAGCTAATATTAATGTTACTGAAAAAAATTTTGCATTGTTATAAATATTTATATTTAGTTATCTTGCTGTTGAAAATATGTAATATTTATTGTTACTTACACAATTATTTAGAATTGATTCTTAGACCATTTATTTTTATAAGTTTCTTTTGAAATGGAGTTCTCTCGATATTGAATATGCAGTACTATATCATCACTGGTGATTTTTGCAAGTGTTGTGATCGACGATATACTGTCATTCAGCACTAAAAGGGTTAACAGTATTAAAATTATAAAAGTCATGTATTTTTTGTTTTATTTACATTTTTTGTAAAATATTAAAAATAGCTGCTAAAAATTTCAGTTTATGTAATTAAGTTCATGTAATAATTAATAGGTTCTTTATTTTAATTGTATTTTGAATTAGTTATTCCTCTTCCTTTTTTTTTTAAGCATAGGCATGATTGATTAGCTTTCTGTTATTACTTTATATGAGCAAATATATATATCCATACCATATTTTTAATAATTCTTCCCTCTATATTATTTCTTCTTATTAAGACAAATATGCATATTTCTCTGTCCTTTTTATCTTTAGGCAAATTTTCAAGCAGTTTGTCACAAACAGAGTTCTAAAAGATCCAAGGCAAAGGCGTTTTTTCAAGAGCAATGACTTGTATGAACTTTTCACATTCAATGAAGTAGGTCCTCAGGGAACTGAAACAAGTGCTATTTTTGCTGGTACTGGATCTGAAGTTAAAATTCCAAAAAAATCACATAAACGGGCAGCAGAAACTGGGAAGGAGTCTGTGGTTCGATTCGCAAAGGAAGGAAAAGGTGCGGTTTCATTCAGTCCCGAAAAACTGGAACAAATGAAGCAGTTAGCTAAAAAATTAAGTCTGGAACTAAGTAAGAAAAATTCAAGCAGTGAAAAAGTTGTTAGACCATCCACAGAACAAAAAACCAACCAGACTTCCCAGATTTCTGTTGTAGAAAATCCCTCCACAAAACAGGATACCAGGCAGATTTCCCATATGTCTGTTGCGGAAAGGAAAAGGGCAGAGGAAAAATGTATATCTAAAGACAAAATTGCCAAGAAATTGAAAAAACAAAAACCTCCTAGTAAGTGAATATTTATTTTTCCCCCTTGTTATTATTAGATTTATTAATTAGCTGAGCATATTTTATTTATTTACTATTAATTGAGCTAGACTTATTTAAAATTAGGCAAAGTAAACCCAAAAGATAAAGTTAATATTTAAGAGAAAAAACTCTATTCCCTGTGAAAATGCATTTCACGGGGCAGTAATGGAGGTTCTTCAATATTCAGAAATGTAGCATTTAAATAGAAGATGTAATTAATTAATAATAAAGAAAACAAAGGTTGTCATACCTTTTGAACAAATTAGAACTGAAAGAACTAAAACATTATTAAATTAAACAGTTAACAGTTAATGACAAAAGGACAAGTTAAACAGTTAAACAGTTAACAGTTAATGACAAAAGGACCAAAATTAAAATAGAAAATAGATATCTCATAGAGAAATGATACGAGGTATTGAAGGAGCAAAAGTATTCTGCAAAGTTTGGCTGAAAATGCATCATTTAAATAGAAGAAATAAAGTTCGACATAGTATGTATTCAACAAAATAAGAACTAAAGAATTTGAAAAATAATAATAATTTGAAAGAGTTCGGATTTTAATGATTGCCCAAAAGGGTTTGTTAATGTTTTCTGTGTTCTCTCGGGGCTTGCAGTCTTCTTTTGCACTAACTCCTCCTAATTCCTCTTTTTTGTTTTTTAACTTTATTATTTAGCTTTGTTTTTTTCGCACTTACACCATACACAATTCAACAGCCAAATTGTAAATATGTTAAGAGCAACATATGTTTAGAAATTGCCAATGCAGTGTTAGCATACATTGCCATGCAAGAGGTGCATCGGACTAAAAAGGTTGAGAGCCACTGATACAGGCCTTTTTCAAAAATGTCAGGTAAAATTTTAACTTTTTTTCAAAAAGTTAGGGATGTTTAAGGGAAAAAAGTGGGTTTTAGTCATTTTTCTCAAATAATTCTGCATGCTTTAAATAGTATCCAGAAAACAAAAATTTCCCTTCTGAGTGGTACAGATTTTTGAATCTGCTCATGAAGGCCTATTTTTAAACAGCGATTATTAGCTAAATTTGTATGCTTACTTATTTCAATATCTGTTATCGTGAACTTTCATTCATTAAGATGATACTTACACCATTAAGTAAGAAATTAACATATTTTAAATTATAAGCTAATATGTACCATTTGACAAAAAATCTCATGACTGGATAAAGGCAGTCATGCTATTGAGGGTTAAAAGACGAACTGTAGCATAAACTTCGTTTTTCTTGCAAAAATTTCATTTTGAATTATCTTGTGTTTAACATAGTTTTATCAACTGGGCTGTAGTTTGATCTCCACACCTGTCACCAGAAATGTAAACAGCATCTACAATTTGGATCACTTTATTTGCAAAATAAAGAAGATGGATATGCAATAGGAATTCTTTTTCTTTTCTTATTTTTTCCTCTTTAATTTATCAAGAATAAGGGAAGAGGGCATTCCTTTTAAGTAGTCTAAGTTGATGTGTTCATTATGCAGATCATCGTTTGTAATTTGGTCTTTGATTATAATGTGTTTATTCTGCATTTTATTATTTATTTGTTTTGGAGAAAATGCAGGTGCTTTAAAAATGTAATTTTGTCGTGTATACTTCTAATTTTATGGCAAAGTATAATAAATAACTATTATTGTACTAATAAATAATTATAATTGTAATCAATTTTAGTTCTAGTATTATCATATAACTATTATTATTATAGTAATTATCTGCAAGTATAATTGTCATAATTTTGTAGTTTATCATTGTAATTAATTATAATAATTTCTCTTTAATAAATGACTACAGGGAGAAAAAAGACTTCTGAAGAACAAAAATTCCATAATTTTTAGTGGTCTTGTTTTTAAATGTAAGTGATGAAATATGTTCTTGTAATTTACTTAAGTTACGACAGTTTTCTCCCTTGATCTCCAGGCTGGAAACAAATAAAATTCTTAGCATTTATTTCTGTGAATATCAATGAAAGACAGGTGATGGCAGGATGACTGGAGGGTGGGTGAGACTTTCACATTATAGCGCTAAATTCATGTGCAGTGGATTGCAAGAAAACATTTCGTACGAGAATAGGAAAGCATGAGCAGTGCACTACAGTGATCATTACATTCTTGTTAAAGTTCAAAGTTATCATTTGTTGCTCTGACAGACAAGCAAAAGAAGCTAAGAAAAAAAAAAGAAAGAAAGAAACAGTGTTAACTATTTAATCTCAAACACATGTGACCCTCACATGCATAACTATGTAATTAACAGCTTGTTTAGGCAACTGGTGTGTTTGGGCTGAATGGCAACCAAGGCTGCATTAGTAATGTTTTCCAAGCCACAGATAAGTGAGCTGTTCTTCGCTGTTTTCTTCAGAAATGTAACCATTCTATTACCTCTCTTTAGAAGTATCATTACTTTAAATATATGTTATATTATGTGATCGGTCATTATAAGTAATAATTATATTAATTAACTCATTTTTCATTCCAGTATGATTCTTAAATTCGTCACTTTTGTTTTCAGACACCAAAAGAATAATATTTATTATGAATGATGCATTGTTATTTTATTTTATTTTATTTTTTTTTTTTTTTTTTTTTTTTTTTCAGAATGAACAGTTTTTTCCAAAGTTTGATATTTCTTTTAAAAATCCTATACTTTTCCCCCTTGAATAGTTAACTGCACATTTACTCCTTATTCTAAACATGACTTAGTTTTCTTTATAAAGTTTTTTGGAAAGGTGTCTTTTCCCAGGCAACATATAAAAGACAGGGCAACAAAGAAGTTTGGTGAATTTCACTGTTTAATGACTTGCTAAATCATTTACAAAACTTTATCATGTTATTGCTGATTATAAATTTAAGGCTGCCATCTGAATAAAGTTAAAATACATTAGTGATATCTGCAATTTCATTCCTGAATTCTGAAAAATGATAAGAATTGTTATTATTAGTTTGGCTTTCTGATAGTAGCCTTTGAGATCTGATAACCCTTAAATTTAATTTTTTGTCTTAAATTAATTCTTTAATTCTTTGTCTTTAAAAATAAATGTCTGAGTTCATTTTTTATTTAATTTATAATTTTATACATGTAAGTTTGTATACATTAATGTGCATTTTTAAATAAGTCAACTAAAATAGATTCAACTGGGAAATTATCTTGATGTATCTAATTATTTTTTTCTCTTCCTGGAAATAGAAGTTGATGGTGAAAAGATTGATTATGTAGTTAAAACAGATATATATAAGCCACCTAGGACTGAAGAAGAAGAAAATACAAAGCAGGATGATTATGTCCTTAGCAAATTATTTAAAAAGTCAGGTATAAAATATTTTCTGTATTTTTAAACTTCTAACCATACTTTCTGCCAGTCTTAAATACAAAGTGAAACAAAGTAATGTTTTCTGTGCATTTTTAAGGTGTTTATACTGCTCTAAAACATGATACAATAGTGGAGGCTTCTGATCCCGATTACATGATTGTGGAAGGAGAAGCCGAGAAGGTTGCCAAGCAAGCCATTAAAGCATTGAAAGAGTCCAGACGTATGTGTGCCAGAGCTTCTGAAGGCATACCTACATGGACAGGCCAGCATGGTGGAGTGAAGTAGGTTTTTTTATTACTTTATAAATCATCATTTATACTCAGTGGTGTGGTTAAAAGCTTGCATGCTTGAATGTAATTATGTGATTGTATTGCGCATAATTGTATGATTGTATACAGGGCCTAATTTTGGTAATGATGTACTAAAACAAATGTGATGTACCACTTTTAGTTAATTATTTAGTTTTTAGATAGTACCATGAAAATTAGTTGTGTTAATCATTTCGTGAGACTGCTTGATGCTAAAGTGGCTAGCGCATCATGCAGCTGCACCACAGGTTCGGAATTTGATCCTTGGGCTGGGCAAGCTTGACTGAGCCTTTCGTCCCTTGAGTGGGTCGACAAAATGAGTACCAAGTTCGCTTGGTACCAGGGCTCCTGAAACAAGCTGATTACTTGCCCAGGGGCATATGCTGATGCACTCCAGTCAAAAGGTCAAGAAAGCAGAAAAAGGTCACTGCTGTCCATGACCCACTAGGGCTGTTGTGCCACTGACTTCCCCCCCCCCAGTTTAATCATTTCATGCGTGTTTTTTTGGCCATGCTGTGTGACAATTTTATATATGTAACTGAATTACTCGTAAAAATAGCCCCTTTAAAGGCAACTCCTACTTTTATTTTATAAAATAAAAAATAATTTTGATTTAATGAAATTAAAAATTTAGTTTTTAATTAATTCGTGAAATTATTTTTACTTATAGGTACCTGTATGTATTATAATTTATTTTTATATTCAAAAATAACATTTTAGGGGTGTGTCATCTAAAGCAATAATTAAGTGACTTAAAGCAATAGATTGCATACTACATGATTATCCTAACTTTTGCTGGGGTAGACAGGGCATGTGCCCTAGACCTTTTTTTTCAAGGGGGCGCCCAAATTCTTCTCCACAGTACGTGAACTCAAAATGCAATTCCTTATTTTCTGCTTCCGTAGTTCCTTACACATATTAGTGTTTAAGATGCCATAAAAATCACTGGAGAATCTTAGAATGAAATTTCCAAAGAAACTTGAATGGTAGCGGGGAACAAATTTATCCATTCTTTTCTAAAATCAAGCTGAAGGAACAATTTCACATTTCAGCAATTTAGATGCCATAAAAACCTTTGAAGCATCTTAAAATGAAATTTTCTTAAAAACTTGAATGTCGTCTATAAGACTATTTGGACAACAGCAGACACTGATCAAGTCACTTCTGTAACAGAAGTTACATGAGTGACATGTAACTTAAAGTCCTGCTGGGTAGTTAGAGTTGGAAATTAACAGTGATGACATCTGTTAACTGTCTTTCTCATTTAAAAAAAGAGCTAATAATTGATTAGATGATTAATTTAATTAAAAAAAATCAAAAGTATTTTATATTTTGCTGCAGATGTATAGAACATTTGATGCTATACATTTACACATATTCATCCAAATAATTAACTGCCTTTTAAAAATATTCATTATGTGGAGTTATCTTTTTATATTTTTTAAATTAACAAAAAGTTAAAAATAGGTAAATTAATTAATTTTACTTGGCTTAGAAAGCAGAGAAAATAGATTATTGTAGAAATTTAATGCTTCTATCCCATCAATTCTGCATAACTCTTTTTCATTTTATTGTATGACGTTATCCATGTTTCATGATGTGTTTAACTACGTATTTAAATTTTATATTTCAGACCCAGGTTTGGCCAGAAAAAGAAAGTTCTCCCTTTCACAGAAATGGGCCAGGCTGACAATTCTGATAAGACCTCGAAATCTCCAGTGAAAACTTCTGGCAGGAAATCGACTTTCGATGGAGGAGGAGTTACTTCAGGCAATGCTCCATCCTCAAGTCACTTGTTGTCTGCCATAAGCGAACGTAAAAAGGTGTTTGGTACAGATGTTGCGAGTGATGATGAAGAAGAAAGTTCTTTGGGAGCCAGTACCACCAAATCTGCTACACAGCATGATGAATTGCTCGTGGATATAAGAAATTTCATTGCCTTTCGTGCCGCAGTTGACGGTCAAGCTACAACAAAAGAGATTGTTGAAGCGTTTCGAGACAAACTGCCGATTCAACAGAATGCGATATTTAAATCACTTTTGAGCAAAATATGTGACTTCTCTAGATCTCCTGATGGTGATGGTATATGGCATCTGAAGGAAGAATTTCGGTAGTAGAAAAATTGAATTTTTCTACTGTTAAATCTGCATTGCAATCATTATGTTGATGTAGCTAGGAAGAAAGCCGTATTATGTGTATTGCTTTTTAATTTGGTTTTTAAAACCTAAATATTCCTTTCTGTGATACTTGGAAATAATTAATTAATATTTAGATTTGATAACATTAATAATTTTTATAATTCATTAACATTTTAATTATGCAAAACTTTATATGAAATCTAACAAACATAAGTCAATGCATGAAATTGTATAATGTAATCTATCATATTATAACAGCAATATACCTATTCTTTATATGGGGGGGGAAAAGAGAATATTATTTCTAAATAAAATATAGGATTGAAAATGCCACAGAAGTTACCATAGGAGGAAGTTCATGCTTAAAAGAAATATAGTAATATATATATTAAAAAATTAAACATACTTGCTTCAGATAAATGTACTAAGCGATAAGATATAATTTTTTTGTAATCACAGTATTCTTAATCATATGTAGCTAAAAATATAATCATAAGGTCCCAAGCAATAAAGGATTTTAAACTGTTGCCAAAAGAAATTTAAGTTAAAAAGAAAATCTGAAAGGATTTAGATTTTAACATTGCAACTGAGGATTTTTCAAGGTTTTTTAATGCTTTTGCTTAGCTCTCCGTTTACCAGTCTGATCTTGGACGCACTCCTGGGATCTGGAATCATCAGTTTCATTTCTGGTGACTACTGCATAGAGTGTTTGCCAATAATTCTTATGCCTGTAGGCGATCACATTAATTTTGTAAGTTTAAATTAAGGTGTGTTTGCGCCGCACCTGTGAAAAAATTTTTACTAAATAGCAAGACATGAGGAAAACTTCTCAGAATCATTGTAGATCAATCATATTTGAAAGTCATTTAAGATGATAAGTAATTTTATGCAATTTCTGTGCAATATTATTGTGTAGGTGCATGGCATATTTGATAGCAATTCTAGATGCAAGCTACGTGAGAGATTATTGCTGACTGAAATAAGCAGGAGATACGTGAGAGTCGAAATCAATGTCACATGACATAGTCTCTTTCTAATTGGTCCTTGCCGTTGCAGTGAGAAATTAACTTTAATTCACAAATTTGAACTAATATTTATTTCAATACTTGAATAAATGAAAGTAATTATGTACAGTAACTACTTTTAATCTTTCTTTTGCTCTTTCGAATGAAATTTTTGCTAAATGAATTCATCTGTTAGAAGTTGTGCGTAAGTTAGTATTCACATGGTGAAAAGTCTCATCCTGATTACTTGGTTCTTATTACTTGGTTTAAGGTGCGTTTCATTTAACATCATCACATCTGTTTTGTAAGTGTTCATATAATTGATGAGTTTGTGAAGCTGGTGATAAACACCATTTGCGTTAAAGAAGGATATTCTCAAAAAGCTTGTGGTAGCTAATATCAGATTTGGGTTGTACAGTAAATGTATTTGAACTCATCAATTTGTAATTTGCATGCAAGTTTGGGAGTGAGGTTACATGTCTTCTATTATCCAATGGGCAGCATTCAAAGTTGTATTTTTAGTGAGCATTGTAAACTCCACATTAAGATATTTACAATTTACACTTGAATTAAATAATTTTTTATACAAAGTCTAAACAGCCTTTATTCATTAAGTCCTTTCTTTGTAAATAATGAGAAAAACAAGTCCGTGGCTTTTCCAAACTAATACACTATCTTTGCACTATTTTTTCTTATGGGGTATAAGTAATGTTTTTCATTATTATGAAATCTAAGATTTCTCTGCTTCCATCATGATGACATCTTGTGGGAACAATCAGGGGGGATAATACACATATTGGAGGTTAAGTAATAATTGCATAGAATATTTTCGTTTCTATTTTCATTTCTACTATTCCTGTGATGGTGTTTAGTATTGAAGTTGCCTGCAATTAAAGTAGGCAGGTTTGAGTTTGTGATTTTATCTAAGTCTTGGATTCTTAGAATGCTTCCTGGTGGATGATACACAGAAATAAATAGGTAAGGCTCGTCGAATCCCTTATAAACAATTGCAGCAATGTTTTCAATATTTCCTGTGGTAGGGATGCTGAATCTTGTATGCTTAAAGGTGTCTTCAAATTAATAAGGCTGTACTTCCTCCTCTGTTGTGCTGTCGGTCGTTGTGTAAAATGCTAAAGCTCTGAATATTTGTTCTTATTACTTGGTTTAAGGTGCGTTTCATTTAACATCATCACATCTGTTTTGTAAGTGTTCATATAATTGATGAGTTTGTGAAGCTGGTGATAAACACCATTTGCGTTAAAGAAGGATATTCTCAAAAAGCTTGCGGTAGCTAATATCAGATTTGGGTTGTGCATTGAGGATCTAAAACTCATAATTTAGGTTTGAGAAGTAATCGAATGCGACCATACCGACCTCTGATTTTTTTAATATTGTCTTTGCTAACTTGAATTTATTACAGAAAGTTTTAACTTGAATAAATTGTATTTGTATCCATTCAAAGAATGACGGCTCATTCTGATTGGTTGCTTTTGGGGTATTTCAGGAATGGGTGGGTTTTAGGATGTCCTGTTGTTTGGCACTTGGAAGGTTTGGGAATTCTGGGTTTAGAGTAAATTGTGGTTTATTTGCATTTTTCTTAGCTTCTTTTGCAGCTTTCTCCTGTTCTATTTTTTTGGTGTATATTAATTGGGTTTTTCTTACATCCATGATAGGACAAAACATGATTAGCGCCACACAGAGTACAAATTGAGGAATTTTCATCTTTTTTAGTCTTACAGAGATAGGTTTTATGGTTTTGTGCACATTTAAGGCATCTTGGAGTATAATGGCACAGGTCCCGTGTATGCCCGTACCTCTGGCACTTATGGCATTGCATAGGGCCTGGCCTTGATTTATAATTCGCTATAAGGACATCTAGATCTCTCAATTTCTTTATGTCAAAGATCTTCTTTCCTTCTGCAACCCATATCGGGAATTTCTTTTTGTAAAGTTTTGATATTAGTGGTTTAGTGGTTTTAGTAATTTTTCGATAATAACCTTTATGGGCTTATCCAAATTCATTTTGTATGTGTGGAATGGCACTCGACGATCTTATCGTATTTTTGTAATGGTTCTGTAGTGGTCTGCTTCAAAAATTCGAATAGTTAACCTTCTTCCTTTTAGGTTGTCATTCTACTTTTTTATACCTAAACCCTCAATCTCATCTTTTAGTTTTTCCCAGTTTCTTGCGAAATCTGCAAGTTTAATGGGAGGAATATGACCCACTATCTTTTTTGGGATTTCAGAAGATGTGTTATCATTATCCTCGTCCATATTTTCTTCAGCATTTAGCTCTTCAAATTAATTTTTCTGTGACAGATACTCTGTCTCTGAATTTAATAGGTTACACTTGTGCGTTAAGCGCAGAGTTATGAAACCTTCATTGTCGATAGATTTCTTTTTACGTGTCTTTCCACTAGCGCTTCTAGTTAGTATTTTTGCTTTATCGCTGTTTAGCGATGAGTTTGGGGTTTGTCATCACTTTCTTTTTTGCCTCTTCATTTGTATATATTTTAATTGATGCAATACTCTCACTAAGTTGTTTAAGACGTGCTTCCAAATTAGGGCAGTTAGCCTTTGAAAGTGCCTTGTGCTCTTGTATGAATCTAGTTTTAAGTACTTCTAACTCATCTGCAGATTTAAAACTCTCACGTAGCTGCTCTACATATTTGTATGTGTCTAACAAACTAACTTCCATATTGCTGACCTAATCTGCTGCTACCTGACTGATTTGGCTCATCAATACATACTGAGAAAACAAAGTAAAACAATTTTACCAATAGTAAAGACGCGAAAGATGTAACCCGCTGAGAAAGACTTCACCCAAGAACACTCGTAACACCTGACTCGTCTCTAAGAGCTCAGCATTCAAGTGTCACTAACCACACACTCCTGCTAACACAATTTTTTAGCCCTTTTAACTTTATTGTTAAGCATCAATTTCTTTGCCGTTATGCCACATAAAATTGCATAGCAAAATCACAAAATATTTAAAAGCAGCAGATGTTTAGAATTCTCAATACAACATTAAGTGCTGCCATTAATTTTTTTTTTCCAGTCTTTTCTCAGGGAATCATATCAGTGCTCATTTTTTTTATCAGTATGATGTACACAACTTTTTTTTTATCTTTTTATTAGTAACATTTGGTCTTTTTAATTTTATTTATTAAACATCATTTTTATACTTATGCAACATAAAATTCAACAGCAAAGTCACAATATTTTTAAACAATTTATTTTTTTAGAATATATAAATCCATATTTTTAGAATTCCCAATAGACTTGCAAAGTGTTGACATATTTTTTTATATGTGCTATATTATTTCTTAAAAAATACTTTGCAACAACTTTTGGTGACAACATTTTTTTTTTTTTTTTTTTTTTTTTTTAAATCAGATGAGTAGCATGCCCAAGACGGGCAAAGGAATACATATGGAGGTGGAGAGGGCAGGGGAGTGCCGAAAAAGGATATTGCTGTGAATTAATATATATATATATATATTATTTTATTTATTTTTTATACATTTAATTAAAACTGAGTAACTTAAAAGTTTTTTGCATATATCTTATTTTATAGTTTTTAGTTTATAGAGAGTAGGGAATGATGATAAAAAATAAAGAACATAGTCTCAGAACATAGAAAAAAATTTTTCCGTATAATTGATGTACCAAAGAAGTATGCGTCATCACTTTCCATGTAAGGTCTGTTTGATTTAATGGATGGTGCAAGATTATGTGCAATTCATTACAAAATTATATTTGATTTAGAATCTGATCTAATCATAATTTAAAATTTGGGGAATGCTGATAGGTACAGATTAAATCTTTTGATTTTAAAATGCATCTTTTAACAACATCACAGTAAACATCATAACAAACTAACTTCAGACTAACATGCCATCTTCTATAATTAGTAATTTTTAATACAAATACTTCTTGTTTCTAACATTCTTCTAATAAATAGCAAAGAATATCGCAAGAAAAAAAAAATGAGAGTAATAAAAAGAAATAAGTCCTAAATAAGAAATCTAACCTGAAAAGGAAATGTATAATGTGCATGTATGTAGTGTGTGTAAGTAAATAAAATATAAAAATCGAATGTGAATAATAATTAGAGAATTTTTTTCATCAAATACAGTGGAAATTTGTCTTGAAACTGAAAGTTTGATCTGCCTTCCATTTTAAATATGTAATCATATCATTAAACTTGAAATTTTAATAAAAAGTTAAATTAGATATGGCAACTGGTGATGAAAAAGACTTGAATTAGGTAAGGTATTTTTTCATCATGACATTGTACAACTTCCTTTGGCATGAGAAACACTGCAAAAAGTTAAAAATGCTTGAATGGGAAATTACAATTCTTCTCTCATGTTTTGTGATCCAGCAATGAAAGATTGCCTGTTTTTAAAAGGTTTTAAATAGAGTTTCTTTATACTGCAATGCTGATAGTTTCTTTAGAAGAATATTAAAAATTAGTAAAGATGGCTAGACATTTTAAAATTTCATTTTTTTTGGGGGGGGAAATGCCCTTGCCATGATTGCTATTTCTAGGGTTTGTCTTTCGTTGTGTACTGAACTTTATTAGGCTGTTCATAATGTTTTGCTCATCTGTTTCTAATTACTTTTCTGTTTCTTAATCTTCTTATTATAACTCCTACTCAGTTAAAATACATTTTATGCCATTTCGTTTTTAATGTCATTGTTCATTAATACTTTAAAAATTTATTTATTTACCATCTCTGTGATCATTTACTTTGTAAGACACAGTGCATCCACAAAATTTAGAACTGAATTCATAAAAAATTGCAGGGGAAGTAGGCAGTGTTTCATTTAAAGCAATCTGGGGCCATAGGCACTGCATCCTTTCAGAGATCCCCGGTGATAACATTCTTTGTTTTCATGAGAGAAATTAAGATTGATAGGGACTTGTTAGTGTAGGTGATAATTAAGTCCTTGAAGCAGGAAATATATATTGGATATAACTTCCCAGTATTCTCAGTCAAAATTGAGATGGAACTGCGGCAGATAATCCTTGGCTACATTGCCCAATAACAAGGATTCAATAGTGGTACATAAATGGAATATTGGCTGCTGTGCTCTGTACCATTTCTTCATCTTTGGAGTCCTGGTTAATGAAATTAAACATAGGTACTCGTAGAAGTGGATGGGATACCAGATTTCACCATTTGTTAGCAGGTATAGTCCTGCCACACTAACTGTGCAGTTCTATCCCAATTTTGAGGAAGAACATCCAGAGAGACGGTCTGAGGGTTAGCTCACCGTATATTTTGAATGTTCCTTTGTACACAGACACTATACATTCACAAACGTTCATGCATTCTTTGGGATTTAAGCTAAGGCTCATTGGTATGGCAATCAGTGTCACTAAGCACTATACCAGCTGGATGGTGAAATTAAACACAATCTTCACTTCAGCTGATCTGTATCAGACTGCATACGCTGTGTGGTTGCAGGTCTTTGGTATTTTTTCTCTTGGCATTTTGTCAGTTTTTCTGAGGTCAGTAATCCAGTCCATATACAATTGCTAAATATAGAAATCATTTGATTATTATTAAACATTTCTGGACTTTTTTCTTATTGGTCACATTGGTAAAGCTTCTCAAATACCATTTTGATGCAATGTTATTTTGTCCCATTGTAACAGTTTTTTGAATTTCTAAAATGCTCTTGACTTTGTTCTTTGAGACAAAATTTCTAAGGGAACAGAGGATGTTCCAGAAGTGTCAGAACTGGCAAATAAGGGAATAATTAAGAATAGTTACACTTTTGTTTGTGATAAGCTGCCTGAGAGCCATTACATTATGTGAAAAGAACTTTTGCTATTAAGTTAACGAATTCGTTGTTGTTTCTAATCCGTCTGATTTTAACATATAGCCAATCAGGTCCATGAGATTTTACTATTGTTGTTGAGCTACTTTCCAACTAAATGCATTTGTTGGAAAAGACAATACTACATAATTGGTCATTTAGCCATTCATCACTAAGAATGCTGCCAAAAGTGCACAATGGAGAGTGACTGATTTTACACCCATAAGAATAGAGTTTCATTCGAATTTAATGGAACGTTCAAGGAGATGGATCAAAGGGTTCTCCTATGAACATCCAACCCTTTCCAGGATTCGAACTTGGGCTCAATGATATAGCAGTCAGCAGCACTAATAATTATACTGACCAATGAACTTAGTGATAACCAAAAGGAAAGGATGCAAGGCCTAAGGTAAAGATGCCTGTCATTGTGTTAAGCCTTTTAGCATCACCTACAAGAGGATATTACAAGTTTTTCTAACTCGGTCATAATTTTGATGGAGAAACTTCCAGGGTTGCATCCAAGTACCTTCCATCGCTCTTCAATGAATCTGTAATAACAGGTGTTGCCATAAAAAATTATTTAATATCTTAATGGAAAGAATCTGAGATGGAATATTAATAAAATGTTTCTAATTATTTTTTGGTTATTGTCCTGGGATTAGTTAAAAATTCCAAGTCTAAATTTTGTAGATGGACTGTGTACATCATGTTTGGCAGGTTGTTATACATTTTATAAATAAAGAAGCTATCATGTTATGAAGCATGTTATCTCCATGGCTGTTAAAATGTGTAATGTGAAGTGATATTTTCACATTTATAAAAAGAAAAACTTTTTTTATTTCCAAGAAATGTGATACTGTACATAGCAACATTAAGATGAGAATATTTTATATGTCCATTAACTAATGTAATATTGTATGGAATAAAATATGTCATTCTTAAATGAAGTAATCGTTTTCCTCTCTCCTAGTTTTCAGCACAATAGTTCATACTTGCACATGTATGTTGTTAAATAATTAACAACTTAAAGTTAAAACTTGACAATACAGAATTGTGTACATATGGGGAGAGAGAGGGGAGAATGGCAAATTTTATAAGAATTTACATAGAGGGGTTGAGGAATTTTGCAACTGAAGCTTTTCAAATGGTCTAGAGTTTGCCTATTATGGTACATTGTGCAATCCCACTGTAGGAAGAGAGTCGTTGCATAATTTTTTTAAACTTCGGGCATTGATATTTACTTTAATTAAAAACCTTTGGGCTGGCAGGAGATCAGTTCGTGGGGATTTTATGTGAATATCCCCAGTTAAGGGGCATGAGAAAGTGTAATGATCAGAAGTTTGCTGTTCCCTACATATGCAGATATCGGAGTTCGCCATATTTCTTGCGCAGAAATATGTGAGGAAGGGTCGTGTCCTGTTATATAGTAATTTAATGAAGGTTTCGAGTACAGAGATGCGAAGCTTACATTGAGGATAAAGTTACATGTGCGTTGGTACTTGAAATTTGAGCGAGGCCATGGAATAATGATTTCAGTACCATCTTGATTAATAGATCTTGCTCCTTTGGCTAGTTCATCTGTCTGATCATTATAAAAATGGCCATTATGTCCTTTGATGCATGAAATTTGAATTTTGTAGTCGGAAAGTAAGGGAATGTTAATCGCTAAAATAGCAGCTTGGGAGTCGGATGTTATGCTAATTGGTTCAGATTTTGGAGAATGGCTATTTCAATCGCTGCTTTTTTGGTTGACAATTCCGCTGAAAAACACTATTGTTATTATGGCAATTCCGTGGAAAACACTATTGTTATTATGGAGATGGCCTTTTCATTTTATTATATTTGAAGGGGTAATTTAAAAATAGACTGCAGAACCAACTTTTCCATCAATTTTTTGATCCACCAGTACAGGCAACTGGAGATGAACTATTTGAATTTTCTGCAGACATAGGGAATTTCATTTTGCTAAAGCAAAGCGCTGTATGAATAACACTGGGGTTAATTTTATTTTCATAGTTGAATGGCAGAAAGGTTTGGTTGTTAAATTCTTCAGCATGGTTAAGTTGAAGGACTTCATATAGGTGCTTTCCATTTCTGCACTGACTGATAGTGGAAGAGTACCAGCTAAAGTATCAGGTACTATATTTGAAATTGTGCAATACGCCAGAGTAATGCAAAGAGTAAAAGGCCTTTGAATTGATGGGGTTCGTACGGTCCTTAAAAGTTCTTTGTATTTTTTAAACCGCTTTTTTTTTTTTTTTTTTTTTTTTGTCCTTAAAAGTCCTTAATTTCGGCCAAAATTGGCTGAAGGCCCTTAATTTTAATCATCTGAAATTTCTGTTTGTTTTCACGACTGCCATTTTGAGTGTGAATTAGCAT